TGCTTTGCTCCAAATCAAGCCTCAGAGAAGCAGACTTCAAGAAGTAGCCATACACGATTGATGTTGCATAAATTTGGCTAAGATGTTGTCTCCGGATTTTAGTTGGGGACCAGTTGACAGCAACACTGGAGCCTGCCTTCCATCCAAGGGCGGTACTCAAATGTTCCCTAACCATCTCCAATACCTCTGGGTTATGAATAGACTCTAGCTCCCAGTCCTTGGAAGGTAGAATCTCCAGTCTTCCATTGTAGAGGCATTCAGAGAGGCTAGGAACTAGAGGCACTCTAATCTGAGAGAAATTATACAAGATAATCATGTACAAGACATCTTCAACAGCAAGTTGACACTCAGCCTTTTTCAATTTCGCGATCCTCCTAATTTATTCAAAAAATAAAGAATGGTATCAGGTTCATATAATCAAAATGTATTTGGACTGAAAAGACACAGGAGCATCAGTACAGTCTGACATAGCAATTCAAAGCACATTCACAGGTAAACATAGAATTATCAAGCTAGAGAATAGCTGGCAACTTATCAAAGCAGGAATTTTGGTTGACCATTGAAGCATTGTGTTATAGAGGTCCAAAGTGTGGCTGATTGGAAATTTCCCATGCTAAAGATAATTTGAACAATCTTGATGCTCAACTCCAATTACACCTCCATAACGCCAAGAAGGGATATGTGACAACGGCTGGTAGTTGTCATATATTGCACTCTGTTCAAGGCTTTGAATTATTAATGCAATCCATGGTGGACAAGATTATAGCGCCCTAATAACATTACCTCCATTTCGTAATCACCTTACCTTTGATACCTTTTAACAGACATGTGAATCTACTGCGGGCACAACATCATATTGGCTATTATCCATATCAGCCACTTCACTCTACTGGATTGCTCAGATTTAACGTCCAGCAAAGAACTATTGCAGTTGTTGATTTCATGATATCAAGGATGAGTTAATAAATGTGAAAAAATCCAGTACAAAACTCTGCGAATAAAGTTCCTTGTAAGTAACAACATATTAGCATTACGGATTCATACAAAATTATTCCATCACGCAAATATTTGATGGACAACTCTGTTGATATCTTCCAGGTCAGATGAACCAACATATCATGACAGCATATCAAGATGGCAAATACGAGAGTTATGCAGCATTCAAGCATCAGAGCAATCAAATAATATCATTAATATGAATGTAGAAGAATGAATCAAATATGCTTGATCAGTTGATTTCATTCAGGTGACTTGAGTTGATCACGTCAGTGTTGTAAATATCACTAGCAAGCAATTAAAATAACAATTTCATCTGCTGTAACTACCTTGCTAGATGCAATCAATGAAGATGAGGGAAATTCTAAAAAATAAGGTTTAACTCACGAGTCTTCAAAGGTCATTACAAATGCTAATTAGGGAACGGAATGGTATATAATACCAGGTACTTAAGGTGTGGAAAGTGGCTTGTATCCTGTGGATCCATAAAATTTGAGCTAATTCAAGCCGAATGAAACTACACAAATTTTTGGGACATTATTAGCATCTCTTGGTATATGAAATACGGGGTGCTAAAAGAGTTGAGCAGAAGTTTGAGGTTTGAAGCTTTCCGAGTAGAAAGTTTGATATTTTGATGTGGTCACCATCATTTGTCGACGTCGGCAAAGATTTTTGATGGTGTAGCCATAGAATAAGAGGTTGTAGTAGCGGAAGTGGGAAAAAAAAGGATCAATAGCTCATGATATCATGATAGAGTTATGAGAAAGAGAATGGAAAACTTGATTATATTAATTATTATACAAGAGTATTTATAGTACATAAATAAACATTAGATTATGACTAGATACATTAGAGTATATGTCTAGGTACATTAGACAATAGTTAGGTAAATCTTTGACAATCAACCTAATTGTGTAAATCACGGAGTAAATCAAGGGATAATGATATTAGCAATATCATTATCCTTTACAATATCAACCCCTTAAAATACTTAAGCAAAATAATGGAGCAAATTTCAACATAGACAAGTTCATTTTAATAATATGAAAACGACAAAACAATTTCACCAAAATTTAGTTTAATTTAACCAAAGTTGAAAACTTGAAAAGAGCATATACTTATTAATTATCAAACGCAAAGATAACAAGCAACTTGTTATCGACTTAATTTCTCTGTTTTATATTAATTGCAACAAGTTATTTCTTATTAATTGCAACACGCCGACACTTGTCCCCAAAGTCATTCATATACGGAGTACTAGTTTACTCAGGTTTGACACTTCAACTATTCATCAATGATATGGACTTTCCACTACAAAAAAGTTAAGATCACACGTTCGATTATCCTAAAGCGTTGCGGATCAGGCAATAATTAATTTGAAACACAGTAAAACCAATACCAACAATAGGAAAGAGAAAACACGAAAAAAGATAAGGTCAAGTCAAGCTATATTTTGACCAACGAATTCATAGCATGAAATATGCTTTAAATTATCAACCAAAATTTAGATAATTACTCATCACTTATCAATTATCATATCATACTTAACAAAAATCCAAGCAAAATTCATTAATTAAATAAAAAGGAGAGAGGAGAGAGAAAAACCTATGAAGCGAAGCCTCAGAAGAGCCCAAGCTATGATTAAAACGAGCAAAAGCAGCATCACGATCTTCAACAACACGATTCAATTCAACCGAAACGACGTCGTAAAAAGAATGAGGTTGATTCAGAACAACACTGCTCAACGATCTTCCTAACTCCGATTGAGGCTCTAACGGCAAGTTCAGGCAACACTTCACCGGAAAAAGCTGCGTTTTCCGGCGCCGATTAACCGGAAAACAGCGGTTATTAAAACTGGTATTTAGAGGTTTACGAGAAGGAGAAAAGAGGAGAGAGAAATTGGGTTTAGTTTGAGAAATTGAAGTTGCCATTAATTATTTTAATTTTTTTTTTTAAGGATAATAAAAGGAGGAAATTTAGTGGGGGATTTAAAGAGGTTTGGTGGAGGTGGGGGATGAGGGTGACTGAGTGTCGTAAGGTGATAGGATTTGTGTTGGTTTAAAGAGGTGAAAGTTATCTTAAACAATTTCAATGATTGATGATATATTTAATATTTTTATTTATATGAGCAATATTATTATTAGGAGTGTCCGAGTGGGGGTGTGGGGCGCTATTTTTAAGATATTCTAGAGATAATTGAATTGATGATAATTTATTTTATGCTTTTAGTTTTTAATGGATAAACTATAGATTAGTATAGATATGATGTTATAGGGTTGTATGATGAGGTTTGTGTGTCAACCAGGAATATTAGGTAAGGTTGACAAGTTACCTGCAATATAAAATTAAAATTTTCTTTGACGGAAATATAAAATTAAATAAAGATTTTCCCCAAAAATATGGAGGAGTATGTAATAATGAATGATTTTTTTAGGGTGCGTTTTATTCATCTGATTTCACTTATCTGAAATTATCTTATCTTACATGAATTTATTGAACCTTATTAAAATTTATAGAATATTTTAGTTGTAATATATACTTGGATAACGTGAATTGAACTTTTTAACACTTGAATTTCTCAAAATCAAAAGCACAAAACTAACCAAAATAATGAACAATTTATTACCAAGCAAAGCTTAGTCTAGTAGAAAGGTTTGTCATCTCACAAGTCATAACCTTGGAGATTAAGCTCCTTAAACCCCTCTAGAGGCACCTTAAAGTGAGGATTCCCTTACTTTTCTTCATTCCCCCTAATTCCAAAAGACTTAATCAGGCCTAAGTTCACCTGTGAAAGATTTTGTTCTTATAAAACCCTTCTTCTTACCTATATTCAGTTCCTTCTCCATACTTATTACAAAATTTTTGAACAATTTATTGAATTTTATTCTAAAAAGTATTAATTTAATAAATAAATAAATAAATAAAATATGAGAACATCAACACTAGACAAGATGCACAAAAGTTGCCTAAGACGGTCATAGGTTATAGTTGGCGCAAAGATAAGTGGATAAGTGATCTACAATTCTGCTTTTCACTATTATCAATTCTAATAACCACTTATCTTTACTCGTAGTAAGCGGAGCACTTTTCTCATCTATAAATAGGATAACCACGTTAATCTTAATCCCTCGTCCACATCTACTACTCTATATTCAAAGAAGTTGTTTTTTTTTTAATTTTTTTTTAAATATGAATTCTGAGTAAGATTGTAAAATTGGGTCATGCATGTCAACGTGTTCTTTTAATAATAGTAAAGTCAATTATGGAGTATAATTAGATAAGTAATCCCCTAAATTCAACCTGTGGGCTTGCACCTTGAATAATGCCCCCGGTATTACATCATGTCTTATACTTCGCCTGTGCAAATCATGCTAGAAGACTTTAAAACTAATAACTCTTGTGTTTTTTAAGCTGTGTTGTACTTGAGACAGTGACCAATCACATTCTTTCAAAATACTGTGTAATATACTCCAAAATATTTTAATATAATAACAAACCCGAAGTCAAATCTATGTGTTGATACGAAATTAATTGGTTTGAATAATACTCCAAAATATTTGTAATGTGTACTTAAAATGGATCATATTTGATCCAGGATAACCTTTAAATTTTTTTGTCCGGACATGTTTTGATCCAAACTCATTGAATATAATCGGTTATTAACTTTATTCAGAAGAAGCCCAAGTTAATCATTGGGATAAACCTTTATTATGATTTGGAGTTTAGTGGGCATATTTGTATTTAATTGTTATTGAGATGTGAATTATATCACACTCCTGAACACACATTGTTTTATTTCATCAAGGTCTGACTCTGGAGTAACGCAGCTCCCCAAAAACTGACTATAATGTGCAATAATAGTAAAGACTACCCATTAATCATAGTATAATACATTAATAATGAAGTGGATTAATGTGCAAATGTAGTAAATTATTTCAAGTCCACTCCTTTGTGGAGTATATATATGTATATCCCTTTGTATCAAACATCAAAGCATAAACTAAAAACCAATACTGACTGCCATGTTAAATAACACTTGTATTAGCAAATGGTTTTCATTTGTATTGTTACTGGTAAGTTTCAGTGTACAAGTCGAAGGGCAATATTGCAGATCAACAGGCCACTTTAGAGCTCTAAGCCCTCCACCAGGGCAATGCACATACAAGTGCTGCGTCGAAAACAATGTTTACTTCACCTTTGAATGCTCCCCTTTAGTAACCCCTCAAACAGAGGGAATCCTCGCCTTGAAAAGCTTTCAGAATAGCCAATCAAAGTGCAACAACACTAACAACCACTCGGACAGGTCACTGGTGGTTGCACTATCAACTGGGTGGTACAATGGTGGTGCTCGATGTGGTAACAGGATCGTGATAAGGGGCAATAGGCAGATTGTGGTAGCTAAAGTAGTTGATGAGTGTGATTCTACAAAGGGATGTAATGCAGAAGAGGGTTATCATCCTCCTTGTGGGCGTGACATTGTTGCTGCATCTATGGCTGTTTGGCAGGCTCTGGGAATCCCACAGAGACTATGGGGCGCCCCGATTAATATCAAATGGGCTGATGCTGGGATAATAAATTAGATCTATTATGATTTGTGACAATCTATATTCTGGGTTATATGATAATCATAATTGTAACGGAGCATATGAGCTAAAGTAAAGTAGTAAATATGTATTTCCACTACTCCAATTCCATCCAAACTGGCAATAAAGAAGAACACTAGCAAGTTTAAGCAATAAACTCTTCCTGAAGATGCGAACTAGAATGCATATTATACCTACGTGTAGCTCAGATTTAATAGTCAAATCAAGTTCCGAATATTACAGATATAATAGACTAGTAGTATGTGGTAGCTGTTGCAAGCACCAGCAATATCATGCTCTCTTTATAAACATAACTAGCAGGAGGGTATGGTCTAAGGTCGCTGTGTCAATGATAGCTCAAGGCATTAAATGTTAGTTAAACAATCTTAACATTACCTACATTGCCATGAGCCCATGACCAAGCAAATAGCTGAAACTAGACAAAAAGACATAAGCTCTCAAAACTAACAGAAAGAAATCAACTACAAATTTCTTGCCAACATTCAAATCTGCTGATAGCTACCGGAAACCACAAGGTTGATGACGATGAAGATTGCTTCCATTTAAGGATTCTTCATCGAACTTCAAAGCAGCAATTCTTTGGACACCTAAATGATTTATGAAGCACTAACATCTTCTTCAAGTATTATCAATGGCTGTTAGGGACCCATCAAGCCTTGCAATTCACATCCAAAATTGTCTACAGACCATCTTACTGATACATAGCACTCACATAAAAAAATCCATTGATTTTGAGGCTCACAAGTCACAACAGCCCTGATAAAAATTACTCCGTATAATTAAAGTCTAACAAAGCAGTGGCATTTATGCGCTGCATCTCCATCTTGACCCACTCCAGGAAAGAGTGAAAGGCAGATGCTTGACCAGCAATCATCAACTTTGTCTCCCTGGTTCGCCACAATCAGCTTCGAATCTCAGATTTCACAAAGAATAGCCTAATGGCATGCACCCCAAAGGGGAAATGACTTCTATAATATGGAGTACGTCAAATTGAGTACTGGAGCTCAAAGGTAGAAGCCATACTTGCAGTATCTTCATTGCAACATTGCATTTCTGGAACTCCCAAATTTTAGAGTACCACATTGATGTACCTCTGGCCAGGCGATGGACAACTATTTATCTCAGCCACCAAGATCATTGAATGTTGCCAAATAAGACCTTTGGAACATACAGTGTAAGACCAAATATGGATATTTCAACCACCATGTTTCCTTTTCTTTTGGTTCATGCTAATGGAAACAGGACACGCTGTGTACTTTGAATTGGCAAGCTCCCTTGGGACAACAGTTCCAGCTGATTTCAACACATCAACAATTTCTGGGAACAATTTCTTGTTTTCCTCATTTATGAACACAAATGCATTCCCTTCCCCTCCGTGTCGCGAGGCCCTGCCTATCAAGTGGACATACTCCTTGATTGAATTTGGCAAGTCAAACACTATGACCTGCCTCACACTCACGAGATCCACCCCACGGCCCAATAACCCAGTTGCTACTAGCACAGATACCTCACCCATTAGAAAACTTCTTATAATCTTTCTCCTTTCACTCATGGATTTCTCCCCATGGATGGAGAGAGCTTTGATCTTAGTCGTAACGCTGATTGCCTCAGCTAAGAGATCTGCACCCAGCCTTGAAGCCACAAATACAACCACTGGGGGCCTGAAATGCTGCTTGCTCATCAATATGTCAAAAAGCTTTTGCTTTTTGTGTTTTGATTCCACCCATATAGCTATCTGCTTTACAGCAACGTTTGGCTTATTTGGCTTTCCAACAAAGACAATCGCCAAGGCCTTTGCCATTGAGTGTGCCGTCTTCTCAACTTCAGCAGACATTGTAGCAGAAAACATCAGAACCTGGGGGCATGAAAGAGCCCTAAAGAGCTCCATAACCTGATCACGGAAGCCTCTCTGAAGCATACAGTCTACTTCATCAACCACGAAGATAGATATACTATCCAGTTCCATATCATGCTTAGTAAGCAGATCAATCAGCCTTCCCGGTGTTCCTACAATCAGTTCAACACCTTGTTGAATGCGGTAAACCTGACCGGCCATAGCATCACCACCAATCACAAGTGCAGTCTTAAAAGGCAAACCTTGTCCAAGCAGCTTTGCTTCTTCCTCAACTTGTACACACAGCTCCCTAGTCGGAGTAAGAACCATTGCCAACGGCTTCTTCTCAGTCAACCGATCACATGAAGAATTCACACAACTAGCAATAATTGGAATCAAATACGATGCAGTTTTCCCAGAACCTGTCTCAGCAGAAACAAGAAGGCTACTGCCATCCAATGCAGCAGGTATCGCTTGCATTTGTACCGGTGTCGGGACTTCATACCCAACAGATTCAATGTTCTGAAGTAACTTCACCGGAAGATTACACGACGAAAATGACAAAACAGGTGGAGGGACAGAGCCACACTTAACAGAAACATCAAGTCTTTCTCTCAGCACTGTAGTCTGTTTATCAGACAGACCACAAGAGCTCAGCCCATTTTCGGACCCCGAACCTTTAACATAGATGCACTCATCAGCAACAGGCAATCGTATTGGATTTGGCACAGGAAGAGTGGAGGGCAACTTTGCCTTGGCAATCCTTTCCAGAAGGTTCTTCTTACATTCCAAGCTGCAAACATCATCATCTGTCTCATCACAAATGTACTCCCCATACCGGCCACAAATCACACAACGAGGTTCCCCTGGTTCTGCTTCTCTTTGATCCCAACATCTTACTTTCACTTCATCTATAAAAATCTCAATCAGATTGTGATAAAATAACCACAAATTTCATTTAAACTACTCCACAAATTACCAAAAATCTAATCTTAACTGAGTTTTGTGGTTAAATTACTAGAAAATCCATCAAAATTACTTCACGTTTAACCAGAATTTATCTAATATACTCGGTTTTATGAACATTTATCTAAATTACTCAACAAATTTCCAGAAATTTATCTAAAATACTTAGTTTTGTGGTCGAATTCCAGAATAATCATCTAAATTACTCCACAAATTGTAATAATCAATAAACTCTTAGTTTTATCAATGGAGATTAATCAAATTCCAGCAAAAATTCACAAAACAGGAAAACATGATTCTTGTGAGAAACATGAATAATTCATAATAAATCATTTACCTGAATCGTCATCATCATCATTTCTAATATTAGGGTTTGTACATTCCGATTGATGATTCGTCAAATTCATAGCTGGAAATTCGAATCATGAATTCTCTCACTTCCCATTCATTCGAATTCGGCAACTACTGAATTTGAATCTGTGGCAGCTTGGCAAGCAGGTAGTATGATGGGTTGATTGAGCTGAGTATCAATTAGAAAACGACTCGACCCGTAAAGTGTATATTTAACCAAAATGGGCAAATTATTGTGATCCGAAACCCGACTTTATCCGTAACGACCCACACAAACATGAGTACTCCATATATGGAGCATTATATTGGGCGTGTTTTACAACAGCTTTGAAATACTTGTACAAGTCTTTTTTTTTTTTTTTTTTTTTTTGAATAGTCTACAAGTCTTACCTTCTACATTAATTCGCTTGTATATCTGTCCTTTTTTTATTTGTGCTAGTTTTCTTCTAAATAAAATTTAAAATTTGCTTCATACTTTGGCTATTTTCAATTCACATCATATAATTTGATCTGAATTTTTTTTATTTGATTTGATTTCTAACTTAACCTTTTTTTTTTTAGTTTGAAAATATATATTAAGTTGATTTCCACAAATTTATTTATTTATTTATTTTTAATACGAAGTATGAATCACTAAATAGTGCAATATTTGGAGGTGTTGCAACTAAATAAAACCAATAAAAGTAAAACACGATCAAATCATTCATAATTGAGATAATTGACCAAATGGTATAAATACAAAACCCTAGGTCGGTAAATACTGTATACAAGTGTAATATAATTTTGCAGAGTGGCAATACCACAAATTAAATTGATACTCCCTCCGTCTCAAATTAGTCGCAACGTTTTGACTTTTTGCACTATTCTCACATCTCACTTTGACCATCTTTTTTAGCCATTATATGAAAGTCAATGTAATCATGTAAGATGTTGTTGAGTCTATTTTAATATATAGTTTCTTAATATAATTTTTTTTATAGCTTATATAAGTATATAATAAAAGATATTGATGTTCAAACATGTGTATCGACAAACATATCTAATAAACTGGGACAGTGAGAATACACTATAATATTTGCAAATTTAAATCAAAAGGTCATGCTTAAGAGGACGTACACACGCAAGGTCGTCATACACATGCATGTTTTGATTCATCAAAATTTCATTATTTCAAAACACATATAGTAGTACGTTCATTATCTCACTGGTTTTGTTATAAAGCTTAGCTAGGCAGCGCCTTTCAATGGCGAGTAATGTAGCTAGCTCGATCGATCAGTTGCCCCTTTTGCACCCATTAATTGCCGAGCAACCACGCATGTACGGGTTAGCCTGGCTATCGTTTAGCTTTGCGTTTGGGTCTGCCTGGCAGTCCGGAGGTGGATTCGCGCTTTTACATGGATCTATATTAATGTAATTTGCATTATTAGCCTCTAATTGTGTATTTGGAAGGAAATGGCTATTTGTTAACAGCACCATGCTGATAATCAAACCTAGATACATCGCGATTATTGGCTTCATTTTCTTCTTTGGTAACGAAATTAGAGAGTGAGATTCAAGTAAGTTTGTATTTTCTCAACTTAATCTTTGAAAATTATTTTATGGAACCATTATCTATTGTTTGGGTCCAATTTAGTCCAATTGGGCCTAGATATTAAATGATCCAATTAAAAGCCCAAGGTCAAGGTTCAACTCTCCAATTGTGCTAAAGTCAAAGGTCAGCCCACAAAGCAAGCCAATTGGGCTAAGGCCCAACCTCTCCATGTATGATGAGGTATAAAAGCCATCAATATTGATACATTCATATGTTCATTGATATGTTCATTGATAGGTTCATTCATATGTTCATTCATATATTCTGATATATTCCATTAAAGCCTCAAGCAACAAACTCTCTTGCATAGTGTCCTCTTCTTACATATTGTACTGACTTTAGCATCGGAGGGGCCTTCCTCGGCAACACCCCCGAGGCTAGTTTACGTGTGTTTACTGTGCAGGAA